GCCCTGTTATAACCTCCTGTCATGAAGACCCCCTACTGTCACCCACATCCAGACCCCAGGCCCTACTGTCCATGGGCTTTCTAGCAATTTTAAGCTTCAGATTGAGAATTTAGGAAATGTTGGCTGTCTTCCACCTACCCCACCAGAAGGAGGGAAACTTTATAAGGTTGTGGCAGGCCCGCCCGGCAAGAATAACGCTCCTCCCTTCACAGCTGTTCTCGGACCTGGCCACCATATTGCCCAACACTGTAGGAATGGGGGTCTTCTCTGGGCATCTTGGAGCCTCATGGGCTGTACCAGGAAGCAGGTTCCACACCGCTCTGCTCTAGGGCTCCCCAAACTTTGGGTAGGGCTCTCTTCCATCCTTTCAGGGTTTTAACCCCACTCTTCTCTCACTTCATGCTTTTAACCCCCAAACTCTGAGTTTATTTTTTCCTAACTGACTTTCTATGTGGTGGGAAATTATCTTCACATCCTGTCACATCTGTCCACTCTGTGATCACAGCTCCACAGTTGGGCTCTCTCTTTAAGTCAAGCCCTTTTTGGAATTCAAAGGAAAACCCATTTCTCTCTCAAGTACCTAGCTCTTGTAAGTCAGAAGGACTTCACTTTCAGCTTTTTTGTCTGCTGTGAGTTAAAAGCATCCATTAAGCTCTTCAGTAGCCTGCTCGGTTCAGACGTCTATTGGCCCTGTGCATAAGTACCACTGATTCAGTTGGTGGGAAGCCCCAGGCAACCAGTAATACCTAATGAGCAAAAGTATTTGTTTTATTTTTTGAAAATACTCTCCTGCTACACATGCCACAACCTTGGAATACATCTTGGATTTTTTTTTTTTTTTTGAGGTGTATTTGCTAAGTGGTTTTGTTTTTTATTTGTTTTGCAAAACAGACCTTTCACTTTGTTGTCTGTCAGCACATGGCATCTTTTCTTCTGAAGAATTTCCAAGTGCATTCTTTTTCTTCAGAACATTCCATTAGGAAATTTGCCAGCTTTCCTGGTGATTAATGATTGTCTATTTGGCAGAAGACTGTCAGGTGGGGCATAATTGCTCCAATCAGTACTAATAGACTGGGGATTTGTCAAGTGGTCAGCATATTAATGGGTCTAACCTTACTTTGCTTCCTTCCTTAGGCCTAGCAAGTGCTTTCACTTTGCATTTCATCATTACATTTTCCATTGAAATAGCTGTGTCCTTATACAGAGGAGGCAACTTGGGTTTCAAGGGCTACATGGCCTGTGAAGGTTATCCTGAGAACCTAGGTCTTAAATCCACCTATTAGACTCCACTGGACAGGTGTCTTCCCTGCCTCAGTTTCTCAAGGAGAGGTGCCAGATTGGTGCTCCAGAACATACCCACCAAGGAGTGGATTGCTGTGGTCCAAAGCTGATTCTCCCGCGTTCCGCTCTGTTCCCCATGACTCATCACAGTGCCCTCTTCACAACTGACAGTCACAGATGTTGACTGAATGAATGATGCTCAACTTTTATACCTTTTCTAGTCCTAGGGTGATTATTAAGGCTTTTTAAAAAGTATTCAACCATCATTAATAAACATTGTGCTTAGTTTCACTGCAATCTTCTATTTGCAGCCCTAACAGAACTAATTGTAAACCTAATGGCTTTTGAAATCTACTTGTAAGGTTTTATATATAGTAAAATTTAAGTGTTTCCATTTTCAAGATGTGTTCCAGAGAGTATAATCTTGAATCACCAGGCTTCCACTGTAACAGACCTTTCACTTTTGCAAGGGCGGAAGAGGTTTTTAGAAGCTGAGTAATGCTAGATTCCTTCCTGTAGGTATTTCACCAGCAGACATACTTCACAAATATTCTACGCATTGGATGAGGTTTCCAACAGGGAAGCAGACCAGTTTAATGGCACATGGTTTTTAAATAGGGCTTTTTAAAAATGGTGTGACTGGATATTTCGCTCCTATTTTGTGCTCAGCACAAATGTACAAATATTTGCTTTAATGAATATGTTAAGCCTATCCCTGATCTTCTTGGGCTGTAATCTCTTCCTGTCAAATTTGCCAACCCAAACAGAATCAGTCAGTTGTCTGTTTTTGTTTTCAAGAGAAGCTTCTAAAACTCCAGTCTTTAGCATGATCCTTAGAGTGTTTTTCTGATCTTTGAAATGGAAGAAGTGTTTTGTTGTCTTTTTTTCAATGTGCTTCAAATACTAGGTTAAAAAGTCAAGATTTGGCTGAGCCCAGTGGCTCATGCCTGTAATCCCAGCACTTTGGGAGTTTGAGGCAGGCAGATCACAAGGTCAGGAATTCGAGACCAGCCTGACCAACATGGCGAAACCCCATCTCTACTAAAAATACAAAAATTAGCCTGTGTGGTAGCACATGCCTGTAATCCCAGCTACTCAGGAGGCTGAGGCAGGAGAATCGCTTGAACCTGGTAGGTAGAGGTTGCAGTGAGCCGAGATCGCACCACTGTCAGCCCGGGCAGCAGAGCGAGACTCCATCTCAAAAAAAAAAAAAAGAAAGTCGAGATTTAACAATTTTGACAGGGATATGGTGGCAGGAACTTTGGTTTGTGATGCCTTTAAGGAGACTTGAAGTTTGCCAGCACCAAAGTCCTCTTAGTTTTACCTCAGGCAGGGGTTTTCATCTTAACTTCATTTCTGTGCATAAAATCTACAGAGGTCATTGCCACATCATAACTGGGTTCTCAGGCTGGAGTTGACAACCACCAGCCTCTCGGGAATTATGTGCATCTTACTGGTGGGAAAACATCTTGAACAGGTGTCCCTCTTTCTGTGGCTTCGCCATCTGATTCCTGGATGCTAAGATTGGAGAAAGATGTGTCAAAAACATATGGCAATATCTTCAAAGAAAATAGCTGAGTGGTTAGGAACAGGGGTTTGGGAATCAAATTGCCTGGGTTCAGATTCCAGCCCAGCCTACCCATCCTCACACCACAGACAGGAACTGAAATATTGGAATAATATTATTGGCACAGATAGCCAAGCATTTGTAGGATAGGTACCGCCATAAAGGCAGATGCGTGTTTGAGGAGCTACTGTTCTTACATTAGCGTTCAGCTCCTCCTGACGCTAGCACCAGTTTAATAGAAGGGTGCCAAGGTGAATTCTCAATTAATACATCTATCATCCTATAGGGTTTTTTTTGCCTTCAATTTGATCTTACAGTTCATCATTGCCACCTTTGCAGTTAATTCAGCTTTATTATTTTTTTTTTAACACAAAACAGGCTTGAACAACCCAGCAGGATTATCATTCAGCATAAATAAAATTCCATCCCACCCATGTGACTCAATTCGTGAGCCCAGGATTGATTTTTCTAATTGCTCTTTTACTCATACTGATTTCCTCAGACCCACTGGGAGACGCAGATGATCACCCTATTCTTATCTCACCACACAGAAAAATATTTCTTGTTTGCACAGTAATTCTGTGCATAGCATTCATAGCATAGTAATTCTATGACCTACTCCAAACAAATGGGCAAGCATTTTCTTCTTCTTCGCCTCAATCCGCATCCTAATCCTAATGGTCATGCCAAACAGTGAGTCTTGGGAAAGGTTCGTCTTTGCCTGATGTCCTTATCTTTAAAACAAGGATAACAATCACGCCTCCTCCTAAGACTGTGATTAGGATACGTTGCATAAACGTGGAAATGTTTATAGAACAAAGCCTGGCACAGAGGACGGCTCCAGACCACTTGTCTTTGCTGAGACTCTTCCTGTTTTATTACTATTACTTTGTTATTTTTGTGTAATCTATTTCTGTTTACCAGTTGCCCTGTGTCTTAGTTCAGGCTACTATAACCAAATACCATAGACTGGGCAGTTTCTGCAACAAACCCTTGCTTCTCAGTTCTGGAGTCTGGAAGTCTGAGATCAGGGTGTGAGCATGGGCACATCAGGTGAGGGCTTCTTCTGGTTTGTACGTAGCCACCTTCTCCTTGTACCTTCATGCGGCAGAGGGAGGGCTGGCTCTCTTCATCTTCTCATAAGAACACCAAGCCCGTCATGGTGGCACTTACCCTCATGACCTGATTACCCAGAGGCCCCACCTGCTAACCCCATCCTATTGGTAGTTAGGGTTTCAGCATATGAATTTGGGGAAGACACAGACGTGCCGTCTATCACACCGTATATCTTGCGCAGCTTGTTGCTTCGATGCCTAAGCTGTTCCCTGTTCCTTTAGCAGTGGAGAGATAAGGGGGAAACAGAGTGTCTAAGGTGGTTTCTCTGCCATCTCCTTTACCCCTCAACCCCCAAGCCCCAGCATCACTGACTCCTTCCAGGCTTAGAGAAAGACAGGGTCTATTATAATGAAATAGTTATAAATCTGTTCAGTACATATATTCAGTACTAAAGGCTTTAGTAGATACTATCTAGCTGTCAAAAACCGTTAGCAAAGTCCTTTCCGATTTTATGTGTGGACATGTTGCATAGGAATGTTTGCTTAATAACCATGGCTTCCTGAAGCATAGAACTTGGCACAGCATCAGCAAGGAACGTCTTTACTTGTTGTTTTTGTGTTTGTTTGGTTTTGAGGCAGGGTGTCACTCCTGTTACCCAGGTTGGAATGCAGTGGTGAGATCTTGGCTCACCTGCAGCCTCGACTTCCCGGGCTCAAGCTATCCTCCCACCTCAACCTCCTGGTATCTGGGACTACAGGCATGTGCCACCGTGCCCAGCTAATTTTTTGTATTTTTTTTAAGAGATGGGATCTCGCCACATTGTCCAGGCTGGTCTTGAACTCCTGGGCTCAAGTGATCCGCCTGCCTCAGCCTCCCAAAGTGCTGGGATTACAGGCGTGAGCCACCAAGTCCAGCATTCTTTAATGTCGTATACATTTTCTAACAGAGAATTAGAAGGGATACTGAGAAAAATCTGTTTTGAATGGATAAAACAATGAGAATAAAAATGTTTCTTTAATGTATTAATTTTGTAATCTAGCAGCATAATAAATCAATACTGGGTATATTAAACAAAGTATTTGTTTTTCTTTTAAAGATATTCTGGAGTGTATACAATAATATCCCTCCTGTGACTAGCCTGCCTTTGAGATGTAGTTACCATTTAATGAGAGGAGAGAGGCGACCACTCTGGTAAGTGTCTAATGTGTAATTTAAGGTCAAGGTGGGAAGGAAATGTTTGTGAACCTCATAAAAGATCGTATCACCTGAGATGTGTCTCACATGAACCACACAGAAAGTCTGTGATACCAGTCATGGCCCAGGGTTGGAGGGTAAGTGTCCTCCTTCTTTAGTAGCTTGAGGTAGTGATGAAGATGGACAGTAAGTTAGTTTGCCCAGTCTAGAGTCCCAATTAGTGATAAATCCTTATGTCATTCACTCCTTCTGAATTATTTACTCATTAATAAAATGGAAATGTGTCTTATCTTGATTAGTAGCAAATGACAGAAACCTAATTTGTTTTTGTGTTTTTTGTTTGGTTGATTGGTTTACTTTATTTTTTCTTTGTTTTCAGTCAGCGTCTCACTCTATCACCCAGGCTGGAGTGCAGTGGCACCATCACAGCTCACTACAGCCTTGACCTCCCAGGCTGAGGTGAACCTCCCACCTCGGCCTCCCAAGTAGCTAAGACTATACGTGTGTGCCACCACCCCCAGCTAATTTTTTATTTTTAGTAGAGATGGGGTTTCACCCTGTTGCCTAGGTTTGTCTTGAACTTCTGGGCTCAAGTCATCTGCCTGCCTCAGCCTCCCAAAGTACTGGGATTATAGGCATGAGCCACCACACCCAGCCACCAGAAACCTAATGTGAGCGAAAAAAAAAAAAGGAATATGTTTTTAACTTGCGACTGGTAAGTTCACTGCACTGGTAGGGCCAGTTTCTGGCAGATCCAGCTCCAGGTTTATCAGGAATCTGATGCTCCCCACCAGAATTATTTTGCTTTATCCTACATTGATTTAATTTTTGGTTTAATTATCTACAATCTGAGGTGGCAAAGTGGCCTTCATGTGCTCCAGTCTTACGTCCTGCAATTTTACCAATGTCGGCACTCTGCAGCTGGGATAAAATCCCAGGGCTGACTCTCATTGTCCCACTTTGGGTCTCTTTTCCATTTCTGGCCAATCACAAGGACTAGGAAGAGGCAGTACTCTCATAGGCTAGCCTGTGTCACAGGCCCATCTTTGAAGCCAGGATGTGGAATCAACTCTGCCTGAGTGGATTTCACAGAAGAGTAGGGGGCAGGTGGCTCTTTAGAGGGAAACTGGGATGCTCTAACCAGAAAGGGAGCAGATGCCCCCTACAGGGACACCCACGAGGCCTTGATACATGGTTGATAGGAGAATCACATGAGACAGTGTTGTGATTGTGACATTGACGTGTAAGGGCCTTCTCGTGTATGAAGCAGCCATATTCATTGTCAATCCCAAAGTCGAGGGAGCCTCTCTGCACCAACCCTTTGAGGATGAGGATCTCAAGTCCCATTGCCCTCCCTGCCCATGTAGACACTGAATGCCACTTTCTGCCCTCTCCATCCCTAGCTCCTTCCTTTCGTTTCCTCTGCATCTGTTTCCAACAAAAGGACTGGGGAAGAGTTAATTTAAAAATGTCCAGTCTTACTCCAGTTAAAATGGCTTTTATCCAAAAGACTGGTAATAGTGAATGCTGGTGAGGGTGTGGAGAAAGGGGAGCCCTCGTACACTGTTGGTGGAAATGTAAATTAGCACAGCCAACTATGGAGAGCAGTATGAAGTCTAAAAGTAGAACTGTCACATGACCCAGCAGTCCCCCTGCCGGATATGTACCCAAAAGAAAGGAAATCAGTATGTCGAAGAGATATCTACACTTCCACGTTTATTGCAGTACCATTCAGAAGAGCTAAGATACGGAATCAACGTAAGTGTCCATCAGCAGATGAATGAATAAAGACTATGTGGTACATGTATACAATGGAATAGTATTCGGCCATCAAAAAAATGAAATTCTGCCATTTGCAACAACATGATGGAATTGGAGAACATTATATTTAGTGAGAGAAACCAGGCATGAAAAGACAAATATCTCATGTTCTCAAACATATGTAGGAGCTAAAACAAACAAACAAACAAACAAAAAAACCAATTTAATTGACAGAGAAAGATAGTAGAATGATAATTAGCAGAGGCCTGGAAGTTGCAGGTGATGGGGTGTGATAAAGAGGGGATGATTAATGGGTATAAAGATAACGTTAAAATGAATGAGGTCTTGGAGCATAGTAGGGTAAGTATACTTAACAATAATTCATTATCGATTTCAAAATAACTGAAAGAGTGGAATTGGACTGTTCCTAACATAAGGAAATGATAAAGGATTGAGGTGATGGATAGATAAATACCCTGATTCAGTCATTACACATTGTATGCATGTATCAGAATATCACATGTAGGCCAGATGTTGTGGCTCAGGCCTGTAATCCCAGCATTTTGGGAGGTCAAGGTGGGAGGATTGCTTGAGGTCAGGCGTTCAAGACAAGTCTGAGCAGCAAATTGAGAGAGACCTCATCTCTAAAAAAAGTTTTTTTAATTAGCCAGGTATGGTGGCACATGCCTATAATCCCAGCTACTTGGGAGGCTGAGGTGGGAGGATTGCTCGAGCCCAGGAGTTCAAGGCTACAGGGAGCTACGATCATGCTGCTGCACTCCAGCCTGGGTGACAAAGTCTTTAAAAAAAAAATTCAGTTATACCCCATAAATATGTACAACTATTATGTATCCACAATAAAAAAGAAAAAAGAAAAATGCCCAGTTATTTTTGTTTTAAGGTCATGTGTTGTTAAACTAAATGTAGGTAGACATATTTAAGTGTATGTAGAATCACTTCGTCCTGAGTCTAACTTTAAACGTTGGTCTTTGGCCCAGGGAAGAGGAGAGTAATGCAAAAGGCGGCGTATGGAAGATGAAAGTCCCCAAGGACAGCACGGTAGGTTCCTTCTGATCTTCGTCTAGAACCAGCGAGGCTTGGGGTTGTTGATGGCCTGTGATCAGCATTCTGTGCTTTGCAGACAGCCTATTTACTTGGCAGTCCCCAAACAGGCTGGGAGTGAGAAATTCTGCTCTGACCTCGATGATTTTCTGCCTTACACTGTTGCCTTGAAAGTATATCATTGTGCTTCTCCATAGACGTGGTGTAATATGTGACTGTATGATGCAGTCTGCAGGAGTAAATGCCTGTGAACTTCACAGAAAAGCTGGGTGAATGTCTTTATGGTGGACATTCCCTTGACAGCCATGACTAACACAGGGAAATTGGTTTTACGAAATCCGAAGCAGCATATTTCCTTCCAAAGGCTCATCCCTCCTCTACGAGGGGGAGCAAAAGCAGTTCTGAGAATGACCATGGCACAGAGAATGGGGAGGCTTGGCATTTCACCATCCTTTGTGGTTTCATGAGAGACTCTGCTCCCTCTCCCTCTGGGGCTGATGAGCACCTGGAGGGTGTGATGAGCTGCTGGTTTGCAGTGGTCAAGTCTCAGAAACCCAGATTTCCCAGAGTGAGCTCTAATTTGTCATTTTGACTGGAAATGAATGTGAACCCTAAAATCAGTTATCTTAAGCCCTGGAAAACCAAAAAGCTGCTTTGAAAATGGGCAAAGGGGAAATGCTGCCCAGTTTCCTTTTCATGGTTTCTTTCATGTGGATAACCTCAAAGAACTGTAATGTCTCCAGGGACCCATATGCTTGAGCTGGAGTCATTTTCCTATAAGCACATACCTAAAGATATGACCAGATTTATTTGTCAAAGGTGCAAACTGGTAGTCAAGATGTGAAGCTCCAAGGTTTTACTGTTATTTGGCCTACATAATAAAAAATATCAGGGGAGCAGAGAATGTAGGAGAATGAGAAAATATAAGGTGTTCTTAAAATTTCATTATGAACAACACTTTTTGCCTTTCCGTGTTCTTTCTTTATTCACACTAGACTTTGAACTCTAGCAGAAGTAATCATGACGTCCGCATTCCTTGAAGAGCAGCTGAGAGGCAGTTTTGTCCTCTCCCTCCTTGCTAGCTCCCTTGGCTGCACTGGGTCACAAATAATAATGCAAATAATCCGTGCAAATGCCCTCATGCCAGGCAGCTTAGCCTACTTTTCGTCATCAACTAGTGGGGGTCTGTGGGCCAAACTGGTCTGAATTCAAAGCAGAAGGGTGAAGTCTCCTTTCCCCTAATGGCCTCTCCCAACTCTCCATTTCATCATTAACAGCTTAAAGGACTGTAGCTGGACAGATAGAAAACGGAAGCCGTGATTCCTAGGTGGGAGACTAGCAGACCAGAAGGGGTGGGCTAGGAAAGAGAAAGGAAAAGGATGAAAGGTCACTTTCCGTTCTCTTGCTAACCGCCGTGGCCTTGGTTAAAGGTTCAGCAAGACTTTAAGCTTGTCAGGACGTAATAATAAACACTGTTATTATAGTTAATATGTATTGAGCACTTGGAATATAGCAAACAAGCAGCTGTTTATGGCATGGATCTTAAATGTTAAGGCCTTTTATTGCAGTCATTGTACTAAGCCCTTTGAGCACACTTGTTGACTAATTTCATACCCAGAGCAGCCCTGGAAGGTCAGCCCTATTATTATTTTCCTGTTCACCTAAAGAAACTAATGATCAGAGAGGTTGTTAACCCACCTGGTTTTCAGATAGTAAGCAGCCTCTCTGGATTCAAACGCAGTTTGGGGGCAATTTGGAGCCTGTGAACCACAGGAAGGAGGATAAATGGGACCAAGAACTTTTCAAAGGAAATAATGTGGCTGTCTGTTGGATGGCACCAGCAGATCATGAGGAGAAAGAAACTCCAGTGTTTCTCATTGGTAGGAGGCAGACCAGAGCGTGCACTGAACCTTCCAGGGAAATTACATACATTCTTACATACAGTTCTATTGCCTCCCACAAACAGTCTGCCTCAAGTGAATGGAATTTCCCAAGACGCTAGTATTTAATAAACAAGAAATATCCTGAAGTGTTCTTTACTTGTGTAACCTTTGAAGTACCACATAAGTTGTAAAAAAAAAAAAAAAAGATTTTCAAGAGAAAGATTTTACTAATAGCATCCACATATAATCAGCTTCTATGTTTTGAATCAGTGAGAGGTAAAGAAATTGGAAACTTTTAAGTCATTGCAATACATTTTCCCTAGAAATTCCTCTGAATTTCAACAGGGGTTTCACTAGCGATTAGCTTTTGCCAGACTTTGGCTTACTTATGTCTGTGTAAAGTTATTTGTAAACCAGTGAAAAATACGCCACTATAATAAATGTTTGCACCTAGGATTTGGAGGTGTCTGTGGACTCCAAATATGGGCACAGAAAGTACGTATGAAGTGGAAGAAAACATAACTTGTTTAGCTCCTGAGGATAATTTAAAATATGTGTGTTTTGTTTGTTTTGTTTTTTATTCTTTTCCCACATCAGTCCACAGTTTGGAAAGAGTTGCTGTTGGCAACCATCGGGGAACAGTTCACAGACTGTGCCGCAGCAGGTAAAGCAGCCCACGGCTCTGGTCGGCCCTGCTTCGTGTGCTCCTGGCTTGTGCTTGTTTCTTGCATAAGTTTGTGGTCATGTGTTTGACTTTTTACATGTTTTGAAGTTGTTTATTTTGGAACTACAAAGTTACTCAATTTTTTTTTCATGTGATTGTGGTGTTTAGTATTAGATATGTACGCCTATGTCCATATGTATATTTACATATGTGCATATTATATTTATACATGTATGTGTATAGTCACGTATATTTTTCCCTCCTAGCTCAACTTGTTAGTATCTGTAACCATCTGCCCAAAATAAATAGACAGGAAAGAAAAATCTGACATTAGCTGGGCTCTTAACACAAAGTAAATTCCCTTCATCTGTTCCAGTTCTTCCAGAAGGGGAAAATGCTTTCAGTGTCTAGTGAAGTTTGTGGGTGGTCAAGCACAATCCTCTCTGTCCTTCTCAATCCCAACCTGTTCCTCTTGTTCTCTCTGTCCCCTGCTCAAAGAGGACTAGAGTGGTAGGTGGGGACTGCTCACCATTATTATGCATGATTTAACGGTAGAGGATAAGACAGAAGTTATTCAGAGCTTTCCTTTGGAGACCATTTTCAAATACCCAGGGTATTTCTAAGTGTTTAGTGTTTGTGATAAACCCACTCAAAGAGCAGAATTTAATTGCTTGTTTAAAGTTTTGTTTTCTTTTTGGGTAGTTCCTTCTGAATGCTCCTGAAGTAACATTTAGAATACTATTTTTCCTCCCCAGCTTCCAGTGAAGTTTTTCTTTTTAGCTAATGACAATGATCAGTTGTCCCTCGGATGTCTTAGATGGGTCTATGTTTGAGAGCCCTGTAGGTCTTGCCAGTCCTGGGGCATGGTTCAGATTCATCTCACAAGGAGTTCCAATCATTCCACTTTTGTTTTGCTTACTTCTTATACCACTTTTTATTCACTTAAGACAAAACCTGGGCTGGGCTTGGTAGCTCATGACTGTAATCCCAGCACTTTGGGAGGCCAAGATGGGAGGATCACTTGAAGCCAGAAATTCGAAATACCCTAAGAAACAGAGACAGACCCTTGTCTCTACAAAATGTGCAAAAATTAGCTGGGCATAGTGGCATACACCCATAGCCCCAGCAACTTGGAAGGCTGTAGTGGGAGAATCACTTAAGCCCAGGAAGTAGAGGCTACAGTGAGCTATGATCACACTACTGCACTGCAGCCTCGGTGACAGAGCGAGACCCTGGTTTAAAAAAAAAAAAAAAAAAAAAAAAGACCTGGATTAAGGTAAAATTGTCTGTAAGTACACATTCCTTCTGTTTTAATAGGGAGTATTTAGCAACGTGATAATATACAGCCAAAAATGTATCCCGTGTATAATTATAAACACATAAATCCCTGAGAGAGGAGGTTTTCTGCATCAATTATTCCTGTTTCCAGAACCAGGGAAAAATAGTCTAAGGTAGTAATGAATAGCCAGTATTGAGTAAAGAAGACCAGTTTTTTTGTGGTTGACTTGGGACGTGAGAGCACCATTAGCTATTAACCATTAGCTCTTCCATTAACTAGCTCTGCCACTTTAATCAAGTCAGCTAATCTCTCTGGGCCTCACTCCCCTCATCTTTAAGCAGTGGCTCCTCCCAGCTCTAAAGTCTTCTGTTGCCAGTACCCTAAAATAATCAAGGTTTTGCTGGTTGATTCTACTTATGAATATTACATGTTTGCTGATAGATCTGCCTTTGGTGAAGAGTTGCAGCCTTTTTTTTAACCGAGCCATTTGTGAAAGTGCTAGTAACTATGCCTGGTTGCCAAGAGCCAAACCAAACTGAAATATTGACAGTTAAGCATGCTCAGCATCCATCAGTTGTATCACGCTTTGACCAATAGGGTAGAAATAGGTAACACCAAAAGACTGGAAACACGAACATTTCCCCTAAAGGGTGATCCCGTGACTTCATGGCTAAAGGTTCCCTTCTTATTTGATGATTTTTATTTTCATATAAAATATAACATTGAACTCTGGCAAGACTATTTTAAAGTGTAAATTACAAAGTAAGGAATCTGTACCTAAAAATACTTTCTTGATGCTATAAAAAGTTTCTGTGAATGGCCGTGATAAGGTACTAGCTATCTTTTTTTGACTCTTTTGTTTAAATGTAGCAGATACACAGAAAAATACACACGTTGTATGTATATAGTTTGATAAATAATCACAAAGTAAGCATATAACTTTAGCATCTAGATGTACAAGCAGGACATTACCAGCCCCCCAGCAACCTCCTCTGCTGCCTTTCCTTCCTTCAAAGGTAGCCTCCACTCTAACTTCTAACATCAGAGGCTAATTTTACCTGATTTTGAGTATTTATGTAAATGGACTTATTTAGTGTCAAGTCATACACATTTAGCCAAGATTAAATTCATTTTAAAAAAGAAAAGAAGACACAGGAGGAGCGGGAGAAGGGAAGAATGGAGAAATTACTGCACGAAATTGGATATGTTTTTATTTAAATTATATCCTAATACTGAAATATTTTAACTTCCAGAAGACAACTAGAAAAACTGATGGCATGAATATTTAGATTTATAGAGGCCAGCAAATTAGGCTTAGTATACTAACTAAAGCAAAATTTTCTTATATTGATAATGCTTATCTCTCACATGCTACTTATTGATGCTGTTTATCAAAGTCCATAGAGTTGACTGTATTTCATTACCGTGTCATGAAAAAGGAAAACCAGGAATCAAAAGTTTGTGTTCCTTTCATTTTGCTGCAAATTAGTGTTAACAAAGTGACTGCAAGGGAGGATAAAACAGGGTAACACCTTACTATCCATCTGCCATTCTCAACTAGGTACAAGCCAGCCCTAATCTGGAATTTTGTTTTTTAAAAAAAGGCCCACCTTAATCAATGTAGATAAATGCCTTATAACATTCATTCATTGACGGGGGATCCTAGAATAGCAGAGCTGTACTCAGAGAAGACTTTACTCTCACTCTATACACAGTGCTAACAGATGGGCATTGAGTCTCTAGCCCACAGTATAACGCCCAACACCAGAAAAGGGATTTCTAGAGGGAAGCATCAGAGAGAGCAGGAAGAATTCACAGGAAAGGAGCAGACAAGTAAACCACAGAAAGCAGATGAGCAGCTGAGAATGCACAATCTGGGTCCAGTTAGTGTCGGGGCATATAGTGCTGACCACCCCAGGGTCCCTGAAAGCTTGGCAGGAAGTCAGGAGAAATTCTTGCTATCCTTAACAGAGACAGCAAGGCATCAAGGAAAAGTTCATTTCAGTTCACTTGGCTTTCAGAGGGCAGGGAATTATGCAACCCATTTTAGAAAAAGTCTCATCAAAACAGTAAGAAATAGTCACAAAGCTTTGGTAATGTTAAAAAGGGTAAATGACTTATCTGGAAAATGCATTTGGCTGGAACACTTTATGTAAGTCCCTGGATAAATATGATATGACTGCCATAGCTTTTGCACTAACTTGCTTTCTTCCAATGATTCCCCATAGAATCAGTTATTTCTTACAAGTTGTCTTGTGCCACCTTCTTTTTTCCATCTTATCCTTAACTTTCAGATAAACTGACTAGGTTCTTAGAAACAGTCAGACTGACTTGAACGTATCACTCATTTATTTTTTTCCTGTCTTCCCCTCAGATGACGAAGTAATAGGAGTTAGTGTCAGTGTTCGAGACCGAGAAGACGTCGTCCAAGTCTGGAATGTAAATGCCTCTTTAGTGGGTGAAGCGACTGTTTTAGAAAAGATCTATGAACTTCTGCCCCACATAACTTTTAAAGCAGTATTTTATAAACGTAAGTGCTTTATTTCCAGTTATTACTCTATCTAGCTTACTCTATCATACTTTTAACGATAGAAACCGTTTTGCAAATGTGGTGAAGGCAGACTCATTTGAAATTTGATAATTCAGAAAAGAATTCAGTAAACTACATTTAAGTGTTTTAAAAAAAAAAAAGCTTAGTCTCAGAAATTAAAATGAGATTTTATTCTTGCCTACCTGTGTGGATCAGAAAAGGAAATAACAAATATTGTATTTGTTATTTCAAAAATTTGTACCTAAACTGAAATTTTGATTCTCAAAAAAAAAAAAAAAAAAATTACAATAGTGTTGGAAACAACAATAATAAAAATGTCATTATACGAACTGGCAGGTAGATATTCAATCATCCCTTCATAAACAGGAATTTATAATGTATAACATCTGTGTTTTCGGAAGAAATACATTCTGAGCACAGGCATGATTGAATGTTCTACTGAAATGCTAATACTTCCTCATTATGAATGACTGTGACACAGAACCGAGAGAGAATTCATACCTAGTGGTGAAATGTTAACAGTGTGAATAGGTGTGTGGACCCATTGTTTCCATCATGATTCATGTTCATTGCTTTTGTGTGCTCTTTTGAAAAAGTCTTCTTTTTCATAATGAAAACATCTTAGTGCTGTTAAACCAAAGTTTGGTAGATCAAACTGCAGGTTACACATTTAACAATGAGTCAGAGAAAAGGATGACAGCCCTACACATGTATGGTAAATTTTCTATATCAGAACTGTTCTTAGAGTCAATAACCCATTTTTGTAACTACCGTATTTCATTGACTCTACAATGCTCTTGAAGATAAGATGCTCCATTACGTATAGTATTACTACAAAAGAAAAAGAAAAGGTTCCCAATTAAACTGTAACACATTATTGGCACCAGAGGTCTTCAAAGATGTGTGTGGTAGTGGTGAGGAGTGCATCTTAGAATTGCTGAAATACGTTTCATCATTGCTTCACTTTGTCCAACCCTTTGCCAAAAAGAATAAAAAAAGCAAATTTTGTTTTGTGAGTATCCTAGTATGACAGAGGATATTAACACTAAGGCCTTCTTGTAAGGAACCATATCATTACAGGCCAAATGACTCCGACGTTAAGCAGTGGGACTGATCTGGCACTGCAGATATTCTGAATTTTAAATGGAAGTTTAAATAAAGGAGACACACAAATGGCAGGGCAGAAGTTGCTTATTGGCTGTGCAGTGTAGAAGTTGCAAATTTGCTGATGCCATTTTTATTCTTTAGGGATACTTTAATTGTATTTTTACCCCAGATATTAATTGAAAGGGCATCAAGGGATTTTCTTTATTTCACAAGATTAGCAGAAACTACAGAAGAAAGTGTGTTTCATTGGCATTTATGTATGGGGCTAAAACAACTTTTCCTACCTTTTAACCAGCTCCACACTTGACTCGAAAGAGGAGAACACTAATTTGAAGTAGTTAAGTCAGGCAGTTTGGATTTTTGTCCCACTTCACCAGTGTGACCTTGAGCAAGTGACAACTTTTCAGCGTTTTGCTTTCTCATCTGAGTATCGAGGAGGTTGGTCTTGATCTCTAAGGTTCCTTCTACTTCTAAATTCTATGATTAAGTTTCCAGGTAGCACATTGGTTAGCAGCAGGCTCAAGACAGATAATAAGATACCTGTTTTATCAAATCATAAGGCCACAGAGTGGTTAGGCTAGTTTTTAGGGCCGTGGCCGTAAGCACGTAAGACCGACAAAGGGCAGGATGATTCACTGCTTAGCTGTTGTGATGGCTCCGGGGAGGGTAAAGAAAACTGCAGCTTGTCCAGTTGAATCAAATAGATACACCAGAGGTAGAGACCACTGCAAAGTACGTAATGCAGAAATGAGTAAGGGTCTCAGCAGAAATTCGTATTTTAAGGGCATAAGTTAACATTTAAAAACCCAAAGACTGTTCAAATAAAGATTCGAATTTGAAAAAACAAGTAGTTCTCTTTATTGTAAACAAAGCAGGCAGTCCTTTACTCAGCAGGACATACACCATTTGCTGCAGAAATGATTTGGAAAAGTGAAGTTTGAGCTGAAATCTTTTTCACAGCAGGGTGACGTAAGTTGGAAAGGGCCAATTCATGCTTTTTCTCTGGTTTGGTTAATAGGATCCTAGTGTAAGTATTCCCAAGTTTACAGAAGCTAGGTGACTGTAAATTTTTCATGTAGGAAGAACCCAAGCATGTTCAGTCATGGCCTCTAGCAGGTGGATGGGGATTGGGCCATTAAAACTTACCTTTGATTTGGATACAGATTATTTGACTGAGAAACTCACAGTGCAGTCTCCATTCCCTGACCAGCCCCACCCTCGCCAATTCTGCTAAGTTCTTAAGAACAGCTGAGTGACAAAGGTCTTTTCTGGCATGAGAAATATTTAAAGCAGGAAGCCGGAACTCAAATCTTCCCCCTCTCTTCACTTCCCCTATCCTGTTTCTGTATAGGTGTAGCTGACGATGGTTTTCACATTTTTCAGTGGTTGGAAAAAATCAAAAGAAAAAGTATATTTTGTGACACGTGAAAATTATATGAATATCAAATTTTAGTGTCCATAAATAGTTGTATTATTATAGAGCAATACCCATTTGTTTCCATATTGTCTATAGCTGCTTTAGTGCTACAAAGGCAGAGTTAATGATTGAGACAGAGGCTGGGCATGGTGGCTCACGCCTGTAATCTCAGCACTTTGGGAGGCCAAGGCGAGCGGATCACCTGAGGTTAGAAATTCGACACCACCTGGCCAACATGGTGAAACCCTATCTCTACTGAAAAATATAAAAAGTTAGCTGGGCATGGTAGTAGGCACCTGTAACCCCAGCTACTCAGGAGGCTGAGGCAGGAGAATCGTTTTAATCCAGGAGGTGAAGGTTGCAATGAGCCAAGATTGGGCCATTGCACTCCAGCCTGAGCGACAGGAGAGAAACTCCATCTCAAAAATGACAATACAACAATTGATAATAATAATAATTGGGACAGAGACCATATGGTTCATAAAGGCACATATTTATTCTCTTCCCTTTCCAGAAAAAGTTTGTCAGCTCCAGGTTTAGAGCAATTTTGTAATCCCTTTCTACCCAAAGTAACCTAAGGCTGACAGAATTCTGTTCACTAGGCACTCCCAGTTCTGAATGTTCTGTTTTACTGTCTCTTTAAGCCATCAACATTGTAGTATGCAACTGTGACAGCGCCAGACTGCCCCTCACACCTAGAAGTAATACTGAACTTTGGATAGTCTGTATATCTGGATTTATTATTTGGAAACCAGGTCACTGTAGTTCTGTGATACCTCTACTTGACCCTAAAGCATAGTATAATTTCCTTGCAGATCAAACCATGTTTTCTTTGATGTCTTCCCTAAATATCTTTCTTTGTAAAGTTAAAGCTGTGAGAAATGTTCTACTCAATCAGTTCAGATTTCAGGCCCCCCTTAGGAGTGTGGCCAACCTGAGGTGACCTGCGAGGTATAAAGCACATCTCTCCCAATATTTTATCCAAGTGCAAAGCAGCTCAGGCTGAACGTCCAAGATGATGTCAAAGGGAAAATAGACCTGTTCTGCCCACCCGCCCAGCAATAGTCTGAAGAATTTATTCCATATGAAAAACACAGAGGCCAGGTACAGTGATTCACTCCTGTAATCCCAGCACTTTGGGAGGCCAAGATGGGTGGATCACTTGAGCTCAGGAGTTTTAGACCTGCCTGGGCAACATGACGAAACCCTGTCTCTACCAAAAAGACAAAAATTGGCCACGTATGGTGGCACACACCTGGAATACTAGCTTCTCAGGAGGCTGAGGTGGGAGGATTGCTTGAGCCCAGGAAGTCGAGGCTGCAGTGAACCCAGATCATGCTGCTGCACTCCAGCCTGGGTGACAGAGCAAGACCCTGTTTCAAAAACAAAAACAAACTAACAAACCACACAGAATTGGAAGGGGCTTAAAAGGTGAAATGGGCCAGCCCATCTGCCTCCCTAGAACCCCATTCATTGCTAGTATGGGTATCATATTGGGGAACAAAGCCTCTAGAGTCCTGACTCACCCCAGCTTTATCAGACCTAGCTTCCTGGTGATGGTTAACCAGATCCAGGAGGTAGATTCTCACACACAGTTTTTTTGCCTTAGAGAAAATGTTATGTATTTTGTAGGGTCTCCCAGTGCCATCTTCTACTTTAAACAATGTTAAGTCTTTGAAAATATTTTTCGTAGCATAATATTTTTTAATTCTAGAGTTCTGGCCAGGTGCAGTGGTTCGCGCCTATAATCCCAGCACTTTGGGAGGCCAAGGTAGTGGATAACAGGGTCAGGAGATCAAGACCATCCTGGCCAACATGGTGAAACCCCTTCTCTCCTAAAATACACAAAATTAGCTGGGTGTGGTGGCATGTGACTGTAGTCCCAGCTACTCTGGAGACTGAGGCAGGGGAATCGCTTGAATCCGGGAGGCAGAGGTTGTGGTGATCCAAAATCCCACCATTGCACTCCAGTCTGGGTGACAGAGCAAGACTCTGTCTCAAAAAAGAAAATAAATTCTAGAGTTCTGCCTGGGGATGGTGGCTCACACCTATAATCCCAGTACTTTAGGAGGCCGGGGCGGGTTGATCACTTGAGGTCAGCAGTTCAAGAGCAGCCTGCCCAAGATGGTGAGATGCCGTCTCTACTAAAATATAAAAATTAGCTGGGTATTCTGGCGTGCACCCATAATCCCAGCTACTCTGGAGGCTGAGAAGGGAGAATTGCTTGAACCCGGGAGGCAGAGGAGGTTGCATTGAACTGAGATTGTGCCACTGTACTCCAGCCTGGGTGACAGACTAAAACTCCATCCCAAAAAAAAAAAAAAAAAAAATTCTATAATTCCTAATTAAAATTAGTAATTTTGCAAGCCAGACGATAGGGCTGAAAATCCGTTTGGGGTGGCGTGGGGAACACGATTTGGAAAAATAAGACTTAGCAATTTTATGAAACTTCATTTCCCATCGAGAGTGTTGACAGGTAGAGGGCAGGGGCACCTAGATATAATTGCTGTCACCCTGGTGTGGTTCTTTGTTTTGTTTTATTTTTAGTTTATTTTTAAAGATAGGCTTGTGAGTGGCTCTGTCTTGGGTTGTGTCAGGCGCCCCCCCATCCCCCCCGCAATGCATTCTGTGGGGCACATTTTCCCCTGTGGCATTTGCTTGCAGCCCAACATACTCTCTTCATCGGCTTGTCGAGATGACTCATCCTCCCAGGCACAGCAAGAAGAAACAGGCAGCATGCCCATTGCTTGTTTATTCCTTGTTTTAATTTTCATTATTACATTTCTCAGGAAATGCACGCCTTAGCTAACAGTTACTGGCAAAAAAACAAAACCCAAAAAAAAAAAAAACCAAAAAAAAAAAAACCAACGGTATTTGAGTTCTTGCCAACATTTGGGGAAGCTGAATGAGATGCCTAGAGGAGGGTTGGCCCATCCTTTGCTTAAAGTTTTCTTTCCTTTTTTTCTTTTTTGTTTTTTTTCTGTCCTTTAGCCCATGAAGAGCATCATGCTTTTGAAGGTGGACGTGGAAAACACTAATTGCACTCTGTAAAGAATTCTTTGTCCTTTGCTGATTGGTTTTGGAAACGGTCTTAACAGGAGGGAGAGTGAAGAGAAGACTTGCCGAAGCCGATGCTGGTCAATTTAGAGTGGGTTTCTGTCCTTGCAGATGGGCAATTAGGACTCAAAGTGGCAGGTGGGGTGGGGGGAGATTGTGTGGGTTTCTATCATCACATTACTTGCTTTACAAAAAAAAAAAAAATTTTTTTTTTTGGCTTTCTAAATTCTCTGTTCTTTTCACCCTGCATTTTTTTTTTTTTTGCCCTTTAAAATTCCTTATTCAGCCTAATTATTGTTTTCTACACTCCCCTTTCATTGAGGCACAAGAAATCGGTTTCCCTTTAAGTAGCTCTGCTGTACCTAGTTAATGAGAATATGCATAATCGTGACAAGAGTGCTTCTGAATACCACACTGTACAAGGAGGAATACTAGCTTGGAGAAGCCTGTCTTCTGATTATTTGTTGTGACATATTCCTATGTACTGTGAGCTGGGCATTGTTTTTTTCTGTCCCAGGGAAAAGAAAAACCATACTTAATCTGATTTTGCACTGACAGCACACACGTCTTTAATTTTCCTTTTAAAAACTTTTTTTTTAGTGATAAAAGGAAAGTAATAGTTGGATTGCCTAACATGAAAACTATAATCACAATTCAGTATCAGGATATAAATCAAGCTCTGAGTTTTTGGACCCTCTGTGGAAACATTTCTAACCCAAATTTCAATTTGTGCTTTTCAATAAAAGGCTTAGATTGGTAGCAAGGGATTTCTCCCAATAGAAAACCTGATGTTTCTGATTTAAAGAGAAGATGATATTTTAATTTTGTTTGAATTAAGCTCCTTCCAAAATTCAGGTGTGTTTGCCCACTTAGGGCTTTCCCAGTCAACGCTAACACATTTTGTTAAATGATCCCTTTCCCTGCTCACATTATATGTTGTTTCTCATCATCGATAGTCTTCCAGCCTGGGCAGCTGTCCCCGTCCTTTTTCTTATAGGTGCAGGAAGTTAAATCTCATTGCCAGGATGAATGTGAACATTTGCAAAGTTGAACTTGGAGCACATTCTGCTCATATTAGTAATTGGGATTGTTGATATCTATTGTATTATGCTACCAAAGAAATATTGGTTTTATTAGAAGGAAATGGTCATCCTCTGGATCATGGAGACTTGCTCGGGATACGCCGATTCCCCTCTCCTGACTTAGACTTTGCCAAGCCTCTGGCTGCTTTTGCCTGATAAAGGGCAGGGCCATTCCAAGACACTTCCCTGGCTGGCTTGATTTTGGAGTCATGGGAGCTAGTGCATGCTCACATTTTTCAAAAGGGCGGTGCACTGATGAGATCTTCACCGTACCCAGGAGTTTTACTTCCTCTTGTAGTGTTGACCAACAGAGAGAGTCGAGGCTACTTTAAGCCTCTACTATGTGTTTGTGGATAAAATTCTCCATTCAGACATTTTAAAGGACTCTCCACATTATCTGTTTATAAAAGTCGTGCCCTTCACTTGTTAGTAACCACCTCAGCCATAATACTTATCATCATAGTTTTTTTAAATGCTTTTTTTCTAAACTTGAGTTTCCTTAGTGATTTCAAAATGAAGTATAAGAATATCAGATCCAATTAGCAAAAGCCTGGGACTTGTTTCTCCAAACGTTGTGCTATCAGTTAACTTGTTTTAAAATTATGAGTCAAGGATTTTAAAAAAATTATTCTGGACATGAATTAAAATTCTTTTTTATAATATAAGTATTTTTCTGATAGATTAGAAAAAAAGGATATAATTGTCTTCACTATATTGTCATATATATTTCCATAAGTAAATGGATTTCGAAGTATTTTTATTTTTTTGAACTTTATTTAAGGCATTTGTGATGATGTGTTCAACTTTTGCATGTATGTAGTCTTTGAAGTAAAAATAAAATGAAATAGGAATGTTAGGCTCACGTTAATATTTCCAGTTTCTGTTGTTTATGATCTTGGAACATGACTAGCACACAAAGCAGATTTTTGCCCCAGTGAACTTCTGCAACTGTTTCTGACCCTTTCAAAAATACCAACTGTGAGAAGGATTTAATTTGCCTAATGTTAAAAACCTATCATCTAAATTACTTTCAGAGAGGATTTTGTCAGATTTTGGTTTGGAAATTGTTTTAATTGAATATTTAGTCATAATAGACTTTGTATGAACTAAGCTGATTTAATCAGTTTAAAAACCTCTCATTACCTTCTTAGATTAAAGAAGCTAATACTCTTTTGAGATAGAAGGAAATATTTTGCGGGGCATGTGACTTTTGTGTTAAGGCAGTTTACCCATCTTGGCCGATGTGGGGAAAGTACAAACTTCCAGCAGAATCCTGGTCTTTTCAGCCAAGTGCTTGCAGGTGCAGCCTTGGACACTGCAAAGAACCATATAGAAACCAAAGAGCTCGCTTTTTTGTCTTTGTAATTCCTTAGGGTCTGTGATACATGCCAGGAAATCTGATTGAAACTAATATGCTTTTTCTTCTCCCATTATTCCCTAGATTGTTGTCTCACAGGCAGTTGCCTACATTGGGAAAGTAAGGACAAAAAAATACTCATTTAAAGTAACTTGTCTTTATTTTGACTGTCTTTCATAAGCACTTTCTGCATTGCTGACTTAGTTTTAAGATTTCCTCTTTCCACCCAACTTTTCCACATTTCTTAAATAAGGGTATAATTCACTGCAAACATGTACACTTAGTATAATATTGCTATTAGATTCGTGGTACACTTTATGAAGCAAAAACATGAAAAGGAAAACAGTACTCTAATAAACTTTAAATAAGATTAAGTTGACTCTCTCTCACCCATCTTCTTAATTTAGCCCACATCTACACCAGGCACACAGTCACATGACTTTACAGCTAAGAAGCTTTAGATGTAATTGGGTCCTATAGACATAGTATATGGTCCACCAACTGAGCCTTGACTGAACTTGTCCCTTGTTAAAGACATAGGGCTAGCCAGCCACAGAGCTGGGCATTGAAGTCTGCAAGTTGCATCCCAGTGCAGGCATCCTTAAATGGAGAGTACTCAGAATCTGTCCACCTGAACCTCCTCACTAGCTATCCTAATCAAGCACTAAATATCTGATCCAATCTGGCCAGTGATGTAACTCCTTAAACAGCTCTTTGTAAACAGCTCGTCCTTCTCCCTCTCAGAGACAGAAGTGTTACTGGGGTTTGGAGTTTGAAAATAACCTTCCTATGACAGGAGGTGGGCTTTTGCTATTAGTTGCCTGACTCTCAGAGGATCCCGACTTGTGTCCTTAGACAAAACTGACAGCCTTTGGAACGATCACATGGTGGCGCTGCCTTCCAGCCAACAGTTCTGGCTCTGCAGCAGAATTTATCCAGCTATGTTTGTGGAATTCTTTTAAGATCCTACTGCATTTTGCTCCTATGCTTTTACAAAAATTTGATGAGAAAATGTAAAAATGATACTTGGCAATAAGACATTTAGCTTTCATGCAGCTAATAAAAATGTGTCAAAGCTAGATCGCTCCAGATGTGCTTAAAATATCTCAAATCCTAGGCTCTCATTGGGCTAAGTGGTTGGGAAAAAGAATAAACTCACATGTAGGAAATACGGGAAATACTTCATCAAATATTATACCCAAAGAGAGAAAATTAGGAGTTGATTTTTTTAGCTCGGAATATGGAACTTCCCTTTAAAAATGTAAGTCCGTGCATCACCTTCCCCGTGTTGTATGTTTCTGGAAGATTTCACTCATTACAAATGAAAGTAGAGGACTGCCTGTGAATTGTTTACTTCTGAAAAGAAAATATTGAGATCAGTTAAAATTACTCAAGAGTTTGATGACTCAGGATTGTAAAAAGCCTTGGATCTCAACAGCTGGGAGGAGTCAGAGGGTGACGTGGAAAAAAATAGGAAGTGAGGTACAATGAAAAGTCCCTTTGAATCTGTGCTCATGTATAGTAATTAGAGTGGGTTGCCCCTCTACTGCCAAGAAGAAATCCCAGATAGATTCCTTTCATGTCGGATTATACTGTTCTGATTTTATTTTCTATTATTTTTCTTATGCATCCAAATCTAAGAACATTTATTTAGGTTGACCCACTGAGGCCAAAAGTCACTGTCTTGTGTTTTAGAAATTCTTTCATGTTGCTGACATGAATCTATTTTTAAAAGAAAGCTCAGAGACTCTTAGAATTTTAGAGTGGAAGGGACCTTTGAGATCATCTACCAGTGCTTCTCACCCCTTAGCATGCAGAAAAATTACTCAGATACTTATTATGCACATTTCTTGATCCCAGCCCTAGAGGTCTGGGAGGATATCTGCATTTTTAACAAGTGCCCTAGTGATTCCAATGCTGATGGTGCTCAGATTGCTCTTGGAGAAACCCTGATTTTATCCAACTCCCACAGAAGACAAATGAGGAAAGTCTCCCAACCCTAACCCCTGTCAGGTGACCTGATTCTAATGTATGATACCTACAATCTTATGAAGGAAGGCTAGAGAAAACCATTCATAATGAGACTTGAGTAGATGATGCTCATAAATAAGAACTTTATGGCTGGGACCACAGCACTCATAGAAACACATCTCTGGAAGTCCATAATATAAAGCCTTTAGTACAGAGTGGTGGCTCTTCTCTTTTCTAAATACCATTTCAGCCTGTTAAGAGAAAAGAAATTAATGTTCAGAAAAGTAGTTACTCCATATGTGCAGTAACTACTTTCTATAATGTCTTATGGCATCTGGGGTTCAGCATCATTGAACAAGATTAAATGAACGTTATAGAGCTGTAAAATTGCATGTAAAATAACGCAAAACTGTTCAAATGACTATCAAAGCAGCCTGGGAATGAATTTCCACTAAAATTAATTGTCACTTTCAAAACATAGCTTAGCAAAGCTGTTACTAAACTGGAGAGATCCTTTAATACATAGAAATGTCAAAAAAAATCAAATAAGTATTCCCTAAACTATGTGAGTGATAAGCAAAAGTCATTGTGAAGTCAATATTTTTCTGTTCATCATTGCTACTGAAATTTAGAGTCGCATTGTATATGTGTGTGTTGAGTGTACCTTATTAGAATATCCAATACAAGAGCCTTTGGATATTCTATTATTTTGTGTCCTTTAGAAATCATGAGATTGAAGGAATCTGTGTTAAATGTTTTGGTTTTGGTTGCTGCCTGAAAAAAGTTACCAACTCATTTAAAGAAACACAAGATTTCTTTATGAAAATTTCCGTTTCTAATATTGAAGTCAGATAATTTTTCTTGAACTTTTATTTTGGAACAAATGTTTATTTGGGATTTATTAAAGTGTCAACTTTGCATTATACAACTGAACACGAAGTAAATTGAGTGTTTCTGAGTTTTCCATAGAAAATTTATGCTACCTCCCATCTTTTAACCTAGGAAGAAGCAACTTTTAATGAAGGCTTAAGGTGAAAATGTTTATTTTAGCACTTTATATTACAAGATGAATGGGGAATATTAAAGGACTCTGAGCATTTTAATAAACTTACGGGGTTTCTGTTTTCAAATAGAGGTATTAATTTTGTGGGTATGCATTAAATTCTTCCCAAAGTTCTCAGATAATGTGGCTTATAACCATTGTGTTTGTTTTAGTTTTAACACCGTCTTCTTGGTATTCATGTAAAACAAGTCACCATGACTTTGAATATATTCTCATGGAAAATTTTTTTCAGTGATTCCACAAAAGAATTTTAAATTTTAAACTAGTGAGCACACTTTGGCTTGAGACACCTAACATCATTTGTCTCAAATTTAAAATCTTATCAGTTGCATTAAACGTTATTAATTCTTTAGAATAGTCTTACCTGTGTAAGTTGAACCAGGTTTGTTTGATTATGTTTTGGATCTGCTTGTGCCCCCACCCCCTATTTTATACCATCTGTGCCCTGTGCAGTTGGGGACCCTTTCACATCTGGCTACAAGCTGGTGTAATGCCCTTCCTTTTGATCTGGCTTCATCTAGTGATTTGCTCAGTATTTTTTAAGGTCAGACTGAAAACTTTTCTGTTCTAGTTATTTTTGATTTTATATTGTGTGTTGTGTTTGATGTTCAGATACATGTGAAAGTTGCTTCTATAAGTTGGTAATTTTTATTCCAGCCTTTTGCAGCAATAAGGTAAGACTAGACTGTACTTTTCTTATTTGAAAAGGTAGTGATTTATGTGTTTAGTGCAAATGTTTAGACTGTTCTTGCAATTTTCTGATTTGGGACTATATTGCTATGATTTTATGCTTCTTCATTTTTCAAGGTAGTAGTTCACAGGGTTTGTTTAAGTGTTCGTTTGTAGAACTGTATTTTGAGATTTTGTAATTTGTTGCTGCTAATTCTCATTGTGTATTGAGGTTCTTATGGTATAGAAATGTCATTTTCATCCTCCAGTTTTAAGAATTTCATGTGGTTTAATCAAACACATCACTTAATCGTTATTAGATTCCGTGTGTGTGTGTGTGTGTGTGTGTGTGTGTGTGTGAGAGAGAGAGAGAGAGAATTAGCATAACCCTGTTTATTCCAATACATCTTAAAGGTTTCTGTCCAGCAGCTCTAATATGTTTGATGTTGCTAGCATGGAGTCTGACGCTTAGTAGGATATCTGGTATTCTGATGGGAAGTAACTTTTTGTTTTTACACTTCTCTGTTGAACACTTTTGAAAATAGGGCTCATCAGGGTCTCTTAGAAAACACATTTTGCTTATTTTAATTCTTTTTCTCTACCCTCTACTAAGGATGATTTTGTTTTAGAATAAGTCAGTTACTCTTGTTGCTCTTTTGGGCTGCAATGTGCCCGTGAGATTCAGTTGTCCCATTTCGCCAAGTAAAGTGAACTTACTCCTCCTTTCTTGCTGTCTAATACATTCCTTTAAAAACAAACAAAATATACCAGCAAACTCTTTCTTCGTCCATTCATCTGCAGACTTTCCGATCTCTCCCTGCAGAAACAAGAAATTCAAGATTTTGTGTGCGATGCCTAATTAATTTTAACACAGCAAATGTAATGAAATCTTTGAGGGGCAGGGCATAATACTATGAAGGCTTTAAAATTTCATAATATTTCCCTCTCATATTTGCATCTGATTACTGCCACCATGCATTCTATGTGTACTTTATCATCTGGTCGTTACTGATGCACTTTTTAGAGTGTGTTCTCAGTTGTTCTGTTAGCATAGGTTCCTCTGTCTTGTCACCTAATGTACAGGTTTTTTGGAAGCCAGGACCATGCATGCGTTTTCTTCCTCAGTGATCCTTTTACTGAAGTAACTGCTAGTAAAGAACTTTTAACTGCTTTTCAATAATGAATGTATAAAAAATCTCTGGAATCCTACAGGGTGATGGGTCTTTTGTTATATGAAGAAAAGGAAAAACAGTAGCATTTACAAGGCTCAGCAAGTTAAAATATGTGTCATTAAAATATGTCTCTATTTCCCATCATCTGGCTAGCCTATGATGCTGACTAGCTTATTTCTTGCCAGAGAAAATAAGTTTAAATCATAAGCATATTTAACTAGCAAGCATAAATCATAAATTCTTTATAATCATAAGCATGTTGAACTCTGGTACCATTTTTACAGATGGCAGGGCTAAATGTGTGTGCTACTCTAAGCATTAAAGAGGTGGACAAGCTCTTACTCCCCAATTCTCTCTTTAACTCAGGAAACTTAAATCATTTGTTTTTTTCCACATACAGGATTCTATAAAGTATGGACCTAGGGAAAGGTTTCAGATCTTAGGAAATATTTGGGTTTTGTGATTCACTCTTAATGGGAAAGAATGATGGAAGTGAAGGTTAATCACT